CCCGGCCCGGCCCGGCCCGGCGGCACCGCTGACCCCGGCGCCACGCGGCCTCCCCCAAGGTCAGCCAGAAGCTTTCCCTTCTGCTGCTCAGATCGGAGGCTGAACTCAGGCTGACTTCCATAAAGGCAGGGTTGAGGCCCTTTAAAAAAAATACAGATGTACTTTTCTAACAGGAATCAATCTAAAAGGCAACAGGACAAAACGTTTCATTCAGGCTTCATTCAGCTGCACTGAAGACAATGGTGAAAATGACAGGATTTCACCCCGTATTTTTAACACATCCAATATCACACCATCTAACTATAAAGGATGAAAGTCCTTTCCAGATTATATGACTACTCTAGGGTCTTCTGCTCCTCAGGGCTGAATCAAGTCCTATCAAGTCTGAAATCTGTGCATGTGAAATTCAGGTATGGGTCTCTACTTCCTACTTGGAAACCAAGCGCGCTCCCTGCAGCTCCCCCAGCACATTCGCTGCGTCGTTTTCCCAGCAGTCGCACATCTGAGACACCGCTTGCTTTTGTCCAAGCTATGGAGCCAGTTTGCGAGTCTCATACGCCGGCAGTTAGGCAGGTCAGAAGGTCTGGTCGGCTCATCATTTCCCAAGGGACCGCTGCCTTCCCTCCCTGGGGAGACCTTTCACTTCCTATCCCAGCAGCAGAAAGCCAGGCTGTGCTGTCCAGGCTCCTCCTCCTGTTGCTGCAAGTTGCTCACAGACCTTCCTGCAGCGGCCAGATCACTCGTACAGACACTCTCACCCATGTTCACAAAGCTTCCTGTGAAGACGCTGACGCTGGTCTCGGGCTCTGCAGCAGGACTCATGAAGCATCATTTTAACCACTTACCCTTTACAACTTGCATCATTGCAGATGGGACTGTGCGTTGAGGACCTTTGTTTTCACCAGATATCTCAGTGGCTGAGCATGTGTGGGCTGGTGACATTTGCTAAGCCTTGGTAAGTCTTAACCAGAAGTACACTCACGACTCCTATTTACCGTTTTCTTTTTTTTTTTCTTTTTTTTTTTGATTCAAAGGATAATTAAAAGTTAATTACATGAAATAAGAGTTCCAGTTCCAGCTCAATTTCATCAAAGTCAGTGGAAATCCAAATGGACTTCCATTCAGTCAGTAGGCTCAAGGTCAGATCCTTAAGCTTTTCTTAGATGATTTTTCCTCAGAGCTTTTTCAGCCACAGATAAGTTGTAATTTGGTGTGCTGTAGAGAATAAACTTCAGAGAGGATGCTTCTAAACTCACATACAAAGGAGCTGCTCAGTGCCTGAAATCCTTTGGTCTTGGCCAATGATCAAAAAGAAAAGGCTGCAAAATGTTAAGAAATTCGAAGAGAAACTACAAAAGACATTGTAACAAGTGGTCAAAGGATTTCAGGAATACTTTTTGAGAAGCAAAGTGACATCTAAAGCGATGAATATAAGAGAAGACACAGAGAAAGTAGGTCATCATCGAATATAAAAGACAAGTATGAAGGGGCAGTTAAAAAAAAAAAGGGCTCATGTGTGATTTTCAAAGTACACTAGTAAATCAGGGTCATGTGAATAGTCAGTTCAAAAGCATGATACCATGGATGCCAGAATGCTCTTTAATCAGTCTGCAACTTAGTACACTCTTTAAGGAATATAACTGAAAAGATTTCTTAAAATTGTATTTGTTTCATTTTAATAGCCATTTAACTCTTTTGGGACAGTGCAATAGTTGTGGCTCTAAAAATGTCTACTTCAGGAAAAGCCTCAACAGGAAAGGGTACACGTCTCCCAAGTAGAAGGAGAATGCTTCAGCTGCCTGCCCATTTATTTTTCAACTTTTCTGATGAGATTGAAAATGAAATTTCCATTTGTGATGATGATCCTGGAAAGATCACATTTGCTCATTAAACCAAACTATTTCACAAAGTCCATTCAAAGACAACTAGGGTTTGATCCCAAAGTTTCTAATCCAAGACGTGGCAGGGGCCTAAGTCCAAACTAAAAAGATGCCTTTTTCTAAAGCATGTGCCTGCCATGTACAACCTGCAGCATAAATGTGAAATGTTAGCAAAGGAGCCTCAGTACAGGTTTCCCCAAAAAACGTTCTCACAAAGAAGGCTCCCCTTGATGAGTCTGGGGGACAGTTTTTTGTCCGGTGGGCTGAAAGGAGGTCCGCAGTGCAACTAAATGTGCACCCTGTCATGCTCTGTCAGGGAAGTAAATAGAGCTCAGTGGTGGGACACTGAGCCCGTTGGTGGGAGGAAGCAGGAAGCATAAAACCAGCAGCTTGATGAGGCCACCTCAGAACCTTGAGTAACTGTTGCAGTTCAAACGGCTGCAGCGACCTGGTTCAGGGACGGCACGGCGACCACCCCCAAGCCACTCGGGCCATCAGCTAGTTGACACCAATGTGGTGGACGGCAAAATGACCTTTACTGATGGGTAACAAGGTGTTATATAGCTAAGTTTACAACGTCACATCCGTCTGCTTACACCATAGACTAAACACTATTGGCTATTAGGGGCCCTATCTTTCCATACAGCACGATATCTTCCGGCCGCCGTTCCCTAACTATCTGCAACAAGTAACAGCAGCTTTAGAGTGGCACTGATGGACAAAGATCCAAACTTGGTTTCTGAGGAACAGTATGGTACCTAAGTGTGCCTGAGCACTTACAGCTCATTGCAGAGGGTCCTGGGGAAGGAGACAGTAGTGGAAGGAGAGGTAGGATGTTGTCAAAGGTAGGTGGTCATTTTCTTTTCCTAAAATCCTCTTCTGCTGATTATGTGATACAGCTGCTAGACAAAACAGTAGGGATTGACATGAAATCCCTGGTTTATGTACTTTTTCATCTACAATCAGGGGAATCATGAGGTCCTATTATAACTGTTTGGAAGAGGTAAATACAGAAGTCTCAGGAGATAACAGACAGGGCCACAGCAGGCATTCCTCATGCAGAACTGGTGCCGTTCACCCAGGCGGGCAGGGAGGAGCAGCTCCCTGCTCGCTCCTGCTGTGCTCCACGGCGCCG